CAGTGCCTACTGAAGTTCCTAAAACCTTTGTCAATCTCGGAAATTCATCTTTCAAAGTGATTCAAGAGAATCTAACGTGGAGTGAGGCAAACCGTCGCTGTGAGGCAGAAGGGGCTCATTTGGCCAGCATTCGGGATTTGATAACACAGGCTTACCTTGAGTTGCAGGTCTATAGGTCCAAACAGCCCATGTGGATTGGTCTCAGCAGTGCACAGGTAATGCACCAGAGTGAGAAAGGGAAAATTATGGCATTGCAATTAATAGGAATATTCAGCCTAAATGGGAATGTCATCCTTATGAGTTTCTTTGTGCTGTGGAACACAAGAGCAGATGTTTGACAGAATATACAGGCTGCTCATTGCCATACAATGAAACGTGAATGATTAATCACATTTAATGACAAAATGGCGTTTTACTTTGAGCATCATCTGGAAAATATAAATGTAACGGAGTGTGTTTTTCTAAATTAGTCTTTTAAAAATGAACTCTGTATATTCTACTCTTCTGTGTGTGATATGTTGATGATGACTCATAATCTACAAATTGTATATTTGGATCCAACAGACACATGGATATTTTCTATGGGCAAATAACTGGCCCATGAATATGGAGAAATGGGCACCTTCTGAACCACGGCCCAACCGCCCTTGTGCATACATGGACATGGATGGAGAATGGAAAACAACTTTCTGCAATCAAACCTACTACAGTGTCTGTGAGAAAACAACACCTGAGATACAAGTGTGTGTGTGTGTGTGTGTGTGTGTGTGAAATACAGCAAATAATTATGGATACATTATTATCAAATTATTTAGACTTTTAGAATGCATTAGAAAGCTTATTATCCATTAAATCCTGTACACAAGGGTTTCTGTATATGTCACCCGCCACTTGTCATGAATAAAGGAAGTCAAATAGTATTTAAAGGTGTCTTTAAATGAGAAGCCAAAATTCCCTTGATCTTTTGACATATAAGAGGTCATTGTACTATAAAAACACCCTGTAAGTTTCAGAACTTTCTCGTTAGTCTAAAAACAGCTTATTTTGAAGCCAGTATGCCAAAATGACAGCTTGTGGAATGTGCCACTTAATTACGTAATAGTGTGGCTAAACACAACCTTTGCAGAAAAAGATCAATGCCTGCTTCTACATCGCTGCCTGTTTAGCCCTGACCACCGATTGGCCCATGTAAAGACGGCTCCAAAGGCAACAAGATGCTGTGCAATGCCAAGCTGTGGAAAAACAGTCTTTGCATTGCCTTCCTTCTGATCCCAACGTTAGGAATAAGTGGATGAACTTTATTTTTAATGAAGTTCCAAACCGCGTCAAGAACTTGGTCCATTGTTCACTTCTTTTTACTGCGGATTCGTTTACAAACAAGGCACAATTCGACGTAGGATTTTCACAAAAAAAAATTGAAACTGAAAGACGATGCTGTTCCTGACTATATTGGATTCAACAGTAATGTTGCAACACAAGTGTTAGTAACTGTTTTTATTACATGGTCACTATTGCTTTATCTGTTAAACAGATTGTTTGATGTGAGTATAACATTAGGAAAGAGTGGATGAACTTTATTTTTAATGAAGTTCCAAACCGCGTCAAGAACTTGGTCCATTGTTCACTTCTTTTTACTGCGGATTCGTTTACAAACAAGGCACAATTCGACGTAGGATTTTCACAAAAAAAAATTGAAACTGAAAGACGATGCTGTTCCTGACTATATTGGATTCAACAGTAATGTTGCAACACAAGTGTTAGTAACTGTTTTTATTACATGGTCACTATTGCTTTATCTGTTAAACAGATTGTTTGATGTGAGTATTTATGCGTTTTTTTTAACCTAAATCACTGCAGCGTCCATCTGTGAAGGACAAAGGCTGTCAAACATACACAACTGTTAGCTAATCATAGCAGTGGGCGTTTACTTCTGAGTCTATAATCAGCCACGTCTATTCAAATAGCGTTCTGATGAGGGGGTTAAAAACAGGACAGAAAATATCCTATTACTTCTAAATTATGATGTTTTTGATGTAAAAATAAGTGATAACATTAAAGTGGATCTCGGAGAACAGTACTAAATAAAAAAACAGAGGCAGTTCATGATCCCTTTAATTGTTTTCAAACAGTCATTCAGAGTTAATACACTCTAAAAAATGCTGGGTTAAATACAACCCAGTGCTGGGTAAAATAGGGGCAAACCCAGCAATTGGGTTGTTTTGACCCCACGGTTGGGTTACTACCCAGAAGGTTGGGTTAAACATTTAACCCAACCGCTGGGTCAAAACAGCCCAATTGCTGGGTTTGTCCCTATTTTACCCAGCACTGGGTTGTATTTAACCCAGCATTTTTTAGAGTGTAGTGTTAATAGTCGTACCGTTGGTCACGCAGACAGAAGTGAAACAAATTGGTTGAGTGAATGAATCTGTTACCCAGAAAGTGTTTTTGAATGGATTGGCTGAATCAATGATAACATATCTTATTTATAATGACACTTTTCGCCACCTACTGGCATTTCAATGTAATCTGAAGAAAGAGTCAGTAAAAATGCAGTCTGTCTTATACATGGAAACACACACACAAGCGTTGTGATACAAATAGCTAAAAGCCTCAATACTCAGTTTTTGAAATGACACACATCCAATCATATTCCACACTGAATGGATAATACTTCTTGAATCAGCTTGGTAAACACTATTTCCATGCGACATTCTCCACAGACATTCCCCCAACCGTTCCAGCACAGCACCCTGGGCACTGCCCACATGAAGATGATGACAGTCCAGTGAGGTGGATACCTTTCAAAGACAGCTGCTATGCTTTTGTGACGGACATGCAATCATGGAGCAGAGCAGTTAGACTCTGTATGACATGGGGTAAGGATATAAATTGATTTAAAAAGCTGTTTACTCAATTACATGACAGGTGCAAAGAACAAACGTTTTTTGGTTTTTCGGTTTTCAGGAGCATCTCTTGTCAGCATTAAGGATGAAGGGGAACAGAAGTTTATAGAGAACAACATCATGCTCCTTGAAAGTTACAAAGACTTTTGGATTGGACTTTTCCAAACCCAGAAAGGTAATACACCAAATATACACTTTTCCGGTGGCCCCGAGTTTTCACATTAATAGTGAATGAACTCATGAGCCTAAAAGAGTTGGTTATATATGAACTCACCCTGGGTTATCTAACTACACAGGTCACTGGTTATGGTCAGACAATGCCGTGGTAGATTACTCTAACTGGGCAGATGTGAACGATTATGAAGATGACTATCAAGACCATTCTTGGAATACTGACTGCGCATTAATCTCTACCAAAACTAAAAAATGGAAAAAACAGCATTGTGATTACTCAATCTTATCATTTATCTGCAAAACTGCCAAAGGTACGTATTGTGAAATTTCAAAATAGCATTTTTAGTGACATTTTGTAACATAGGGGAAAGCGGAACTAGTAGTTGTCAGGGAAACAGAGGATTGTGTCTTAACTAATGTTTTGAGTAAAATGTCCCAAAAGCACGATTACATCTTTTCTCTAGCAGTGCTTATCTATGCTGGTTTCAAACACCTAATTCAAATCTGTCTTGTGAACTCAGTCATCCAAATTAAAATGACTATGCAGTAAATTATTTGTGCAGTGACTCATAGGTGACCACAGTTTGTTTCAGTATTTTGCTGTTTAAATCTTCCTGAAAAGCCATTAAATACCCTATGATATATTTTAAATACAAGTATGTTGTGGAAGATGTCATTTTTACTTTAGACATTTATATTTCATGAAAATATATTCTTGTCAAATAACAGAAGGGCCACATATTGTGAGAATTTACCCTATATTCAAAAATATATTTTAGGGTAGACAAAAAAAAAATCTACTCTGGATACTCCTCGGCCTACTACTGGAGTAAAACTTGTGACAAATAACACCAAAAATAATTTTGGACCTGATCGATAGATATGCTTAATATTAATGTTTAAAGTAAAGGGGAAATAAAACACCAAAATTACATGATCAATTTATTTGTCTATAACATTTTATAGACAGATGTTATAACATTCCTTGTTTAAAAAAGACCTGATTTTTTCAATTCTGTTTTTTTTTCTTCTGCAGTAATAAGTCCTACCATTAAGGACACACAAGAAGGTAATATTATGACTTATTTTTAATGACTTTACTTACACTTTTTCTTGTCAAGAAATATTCAAAAATCTAATTTAATGTCAAGAAAAAGCAACCTCTCTACTTTAAAATGGACTGATTACTAAACGTGCATATGTAATATAATAAAACTGCATTTTGATGTAATGTGTATATCACAGTTTCACACACTTGATAGTTTCTCTTAATACTTTTATCTCTTATTTCTTCACAGGTCCTGAACCTCACAAGGTCAATACGGGTTTGGCTGTGTTCTTGAGTATTGCAGTGATTGGCATATTGGGAGCTCTAGCTTTCATGTACTACAGAAATTCAAAAAGACGGTTATTGCCTACATTTGAAAATCCCATGTATAATAACGGAGAAGCTGCTTATTCAGATAGTAAAGATAACAAATCATTGATTGGCAACATAGAGATATCTGAATAGAACTGTGTTTTGTCCAATTAATGTCCAATTACTTGTATATATGTAAGAGATGGTCAGTCGGTTATTATCTTAAAATAATAATAATAACAAGGTCAATACGGGTTTGGCTGTGTTCTTGAGTATTGCAGTGATTGGCATATTGGGAGCTCTAGCTTTCATGTACTACAGAAATTCAAAAAGACGGTTATTGCCTACATTTGAAAATCCCATGTATAATAACGGAGAAGCTGCTTATTCAGATAGTAAAGATAACAAATCATTGATTGGCAACATAGAGATATCTGAATAGAACTGTGTTTTGTCCAATTAATGTCCAATTACTTGTATATATGTAAGAGATGGTCAGTCGGTTATTATCTTAAAAAAACAATGACAGGGCTCATCAGGTTTATTTTGCGATAATGGCTGGACGTTATCCTGCTTATTACATGGCTACTCACCAAATATAGTTGGGTAGAAAATATTTTATGTTAGAAGAAACGTAGCTATGTAGAAGCCAGTTGTTAATTATAAGTTCAGCACTCATTATGCCAAAAATATCAAACTGCAGAATGGTGTAAATGAGCAGTAAGAATTAAATATTCCAAAGAATCATCCAGAATCACTGATTTAATATGGCATTGCCATTGTTCTGTATAGTTTTTTTAAGGGTTGTCAAGACTGTCTTTGAGTTTTTAAAAAAGTTTGTTAATAAGTTGAATAAGAACTGTCTCTAAATAAATATTTACACTGATATATCAGTGATATACAGTGTTTTTGAGCAAACCACCAATTACACACCAACTCTGCAGTGCAAATTAGTTTAAGCATGGGAAAATTGTCTTCTTTCAGGGTGCAGTGCCAAAAAAACAGGATAAAATGACGTATAAAGGTCAGCTGACATGGCAACATTTGCAGTGTTGGGAGTCACGACAGTGTTGGACCACAATTTAACTTTTCCATTTTCAGTTTCAGAAAATGTTTTGCTCTCTTTGAATTCAGTGGCAATTTCAACTATAAGGAAATTATTGTTTTTCCTGAAACACATTCAAATAATATAATTTTTTTTGTTTTCAGAACTGTACTGATTTTATATTTATACTGAATCTGTGCTCAAAAAAGTCCTTCATAATATTTGCAACGTTACAATAAGGTCCTAATAGTAAATGCATAAACAGATCAAATAAAAGCAATAAAACTTTCACATTATTAAAATCAAAAGCTGAAATTAACATGAACAAAAAATAAATAAATGCTTTAGAAGTATTTTTCATTGTTAATGTTAACTAATGTAGTTAACTAATGTTAACAAATTCAACCTTACTGTAAAGTGTTACTATAATACATAGTGAGGTGAATGCACAATAAGAGCCACATGCACGAAAACATCAAATGGTAAATCGTACATGTGCATTATTTGTTTAGGAGAACATTTCAAAGACAATATACAGTCAGACCAACTGAATACAGAAGTACATCTATATTACAGTGCAGCAGTATCTGTACTCAGTTTTATCAATCCAGTACCTACAAAGGCATTTATGAGGTATATACAAATGCATAGAAACAAATTTCAAGCTAGTGTTGTCAAACTAATGCATAGAGTACTCAGGAAACAAAAAGGTATCAAGTGTAAATAAACGTCATGGTTCCAGATGCATTGAGAATATGAACGGATCAGAGATCATTGCCATCTTCCTCTTTTCATTTCTAACAAAACTGGAAACAATTCTTTTACCATGCTGTTGTAGTAAAATAGGTATTTTCTGAATAATTGTACTTATTTCTCTCAGGACATTTGAGTGTGCCTTTTTTACTTTATGAAGATGAAAGTAACGATTAAGAAAAAATATATATCCATTTGATATACATACTGTATATATTTAAACAAACATTTTGAAAATCATAAATACATGCAGCTGGTTGGCTAAAATGATCTCATTGTGTATATTATAAATATGGAACAGAATCAAACTGTGTTCATAAACATTAAAAGTGTTCATTTGAAATAATTTTGCACGAGCAAATAACACATAGTATGGCTCCAGAGTTGATGTGATCAGCTAAGTTCTTTGTATTGACACAAATTATCCTTTGTATGAAATTTAGTGAATAAAATCTGGATTGACTTTTGTGACATACAATCTACAAAACCAGGCCAAACTAAACACTGAACTATGTATACATTAAAGCCGACATGAAATTGAAATATGAAAATAAATATTCTGCTTTGAATCTCACTGAAATTCTGTGTCCCTCTGAGATGTGTAAGATTATGGAAAATAGGTCACAAACAGTAATTTATGCTGACTTTAAAACTGCTCTTAGTAGTGTCACTAAATGGAATTATAAAACATAATGATTTTTCAGACAGGCACCTTGAGCACTCGCCCCATTGGTCAGACAAATACATAATACATAATACAGCCGTTGCTGTCAGGCTGGTTGAGACGGTCAAATAAATTATTTTTTGTGTTGTGCCACAGAGCCACAATGTTCATACTTTTCAGTTAAATCAACCTACAAATGTCTTGTTTCCGTGTTTTAAACTAGCATAACAGAAAATACTTTAACATCCAAAATATCCACCTTATTTTTTTTTTAGCATTTTTATGTAAATGTGCAAGATTTCTGATTCATTAGGTGAGATAACTAAAACTAAAAAGTGTAATAAAATTATTGAAAAAAATTTATTTGAAAAACAAATCAGCGCATTTATGATTTTGATCAATTAAAATGATATGATAACAAACACCAGTTTGCAATATCAAGCAGCATAACAGATTGTTTTTGTACAGCTAAAATATCTGGAAGCGAATGACCCCAGAAGCCTTGCACATTTCAATTACAAAGGGCAGCATTCTTATGTTAAAAATAAGGTGGAAAAATTCGTAAAAAATAACTAGACTAGACTGTCATTGTTTGAATGTTGGTCAAAAACAGACCTTCCAATCCTTGAGGTGAAAAGCCCAAGTGAGAATACTTTAGTTTGCCAATATTTCATGCAGCCAATAGCAGCACAATGTGAATGCATAATTAACCCATTTAATCCCAATATTTTCTCAGACATGAAAATATCAAAATGATGATTTCTGTGTGGCTAGTCCCGTATTATATTCTTAATATTTTCATATCTACCACTAGTGTGGCAGCACGTTCTACAAAAGGCCAACTGAAAAAAATAAAAAATAATCAGAAGTAAAAAAAAATCCAGTTATCTTTCTCAGGGGCGACAAATAAACATGGGTAAGAGCATAGCAGTATGAGACGTGACCAGTTTGCATATGTACATATCAGGAAACAGGAACAGTAACAAGCAAAGATGTAACCACATACTCAGGATTGGAAGGACCAATGTGCTGAAATCTTTTACAAATGCAGTAGTCAGGCCCTGATAGCAAGACACGAACCTAAAGCCTGAGGAACACAGAATTATATGAATGAAAACTGAAAATCAAGGAAATTAGATGTGGACCAGAGGAGGTGATAACGCAGCAGAATGGATAAAGAAAGAGAAACCTTGTTGTCCTGAGTACATGGTAGCCAGCATTTCACATAGCAGCATTAAAACAACGTCCATCTCAGCGATGAATGTACATGTCTTCAGTCCACTCCTCTGTCTCGACGCACCTGTCCCGCTCCCGTCCCTGGTAGTGATAGTCATTGTGGTGCGAGTGAGCGTAGTGGTGCGATTGTTTGTGCGAGCGCAGCTGGCTCGACTGTCTCTGTTGCCTGTTGTGCTCGTTGTGCTCCAGCTCGTAGTCCTGCTGCCCGTGGTGGGAATAATCCGGCTGAACGTCTGTGGTCCCGCGGCGGTGGTGGTGATGTCGGTGGTGGTGGTTGTGATGGTGGTGGTTATGGTCCCTTTGAGTTGTAGTCCTATTGTGGTAGACCTCGGTTTGGTCCGGGTCGCCCTCGACCGGGAGCGTGCGCCTGCTCCGGAACTCCACGTACGAAGTGTCTTTAGAAGGAAGCAGCTCCATGTCGGCAGGCTGCTGGTGTTTGTTGTGGGGCTCTGTTGGTCGGCTGGTGCTGGAGCGGTGGTGGTGGTGGTGGTGATGATGGCTGTGTCTCTTTGGCTCACTACGAAGGAGCCTCTCCTCCTCCTCAGCCTCCTCCTGCACTTCCTCTTCTTCTTCCTCCTCCTCCTCCTCCTCCTCTCTCGTCTCCTGAGCCTGGGGCTGATGCTCCTGCTGGTGCTCTTGAGATCCTTTTCTCTTGGTGGTGGCCGTCTTCTTGCTTTTCTGTTCATCCTGTATATGAGATTTATGACATGAAATTAGAGTTTTGTGGCTTCTAGTCCATGTCTGTTAGCTTTGGAACAGAAACAGACGAAAAGAGAGTGCAGCATTTGGGCTCCAGAAGTAAAAATCCCATTCATTTTCTCTATGGGGGGACTGATAACTTTTAAACCTTTACAGGCAGACCTACTGTGAGCTACAAGGATGTTAATCAGTGGAATATGCTTTTGTTGAAGTCGTAAGCCCTCATTATGTCATCTTATTTTTTAAATAATCATGTATAACTGCAAAAATCCTAGTGAATTCTGCAGATACATTTCCACCAATCAGAGAAGGAAACAACCAAAGATGCTAAACTACAAGCGTGGCACTTCTGCACTATTATAAAGTTTACTTACAATACCTACGTAAGATAGGCTATTACTAATACTATGGATACTAAGAAGTAGTACAAACTAGTTGGTACTGACACTATAGGCATTTTACCTCAGAGACCACCGTCTCACTCAGTGAAGTAACTTAAAGCTCAAGTCTTCTTTAAATGTCCAAGAAAGTTTTGTAAGTGGTGGAGAGGAAATTGAAAATGTCACAGAATGACACACCACTAAGCACAATTTCAGACTTTATGGAGCCTGCAGATGTTTCAAAGCAGTTGTAATTTTGGACATTCACAAGTTAACAAAAACTAATAAAATATGTTAGAATGTGGATTAAACTAAAGGTATAAGAGACATTAACAAGAAATTAATATTGAAAATGTCGTATACTTGGTTACTAAGAAGACAGCAGTCAGTGAAAAGCATACTTGAGATGAAATATTATATATGAAGTGTGAGGAAAAAGAAAATGGAATGTAATTTCCAATCTAACTGTATGTCAAATTATGTGAAAAAAGTGTGAAACTATTACTTGTGTGTATTTAGGATACATACAACGATAGCAAGACATTAGACTTAAAATGAGACAAGACAAAAGGAGTCATTATTCCAAAAAGAAAGAAAGAAATTACATTGCCATTTCCACCACAGAACACTATTAAGCACAATACATAATGTGATATGTGGTGGAAATGACACTGTATGAACTTATGATTTTATGAATATATGTATATTACCGTTCAAAGGTTTGAGGTCAGTAATACTTAAAAAAAAAAAAAAATAATTACTACTTTTATTCTACTGTATTTATCTAAAGTGACATTACATAGATTTGTAATGTCACAAAAGATTTCTATTTCAAATAACCACCGTTTTTTGAACTTTCATTTCTTTAAAGAATTTTGAGGAAAAATATATATATATCAAATTACCACAAAAATAATAAGCTGCCCTAATATTTTTAATATAGATAGATAATCATAAGAAATGTTTCTTGAGCAGCAAATCAGCATATTAGAATGATTTCTGAAGGATCATGTA